ATGAAACTATCAGATACATAGATTATCATGCATACATAATGAAAAATCTACGTATTATTAAAACAATTTAATTTGCTTACTTACCGGTCGAAATTCTTATAAAATACAGCACAGCGAAACGTGACACCATAGAACAAGCCAGGAAGCTCATAACCATAGAACAAAATTACATTTCCGGCAACAGTAATACTAAATATTATTAACAGATGGCGATATAAATATTTTAGGCGCTTTCCTTTGGGTAAACCAGCATTGGGCCTTAATATCTGGTGGGCCTTATTACCCCCGGGTACCTTATTTCAATTTTTAAAATTGTCAGATTTTTTGAAATTTTAAAAATGTTCAGAGTTTTTGAAGTTTTCTGAACATTCAAAATTTCCAGTTTTAAAAATTTTCAATTTTTCAGAATTTTCTGTTTTCGAAATTTTCGTTTTTAAGAATTTTCAAAAAATTCAAGAGGTTCCATAGTTTTCAATGATATCAGAACTTTGAACATTTTGAAAGTGTTTAATATCTCCAAGATTTTCAAACTTCTCAAAATAGTTGAAATTTTCCGAATTTTCAAAATTTTCAAGATTCTCAAAATTTCGAAAATTCTCTAAATTTTCGAAATTTTCAAAATTGTCTGTTTTCAAGATATTCATTTCCAAATTTCCAAAAGTTTTCAAAATCTTTAAAATTTTCAGAGGTAAGGTTTTCAAGCATTTCAAAACTTTAAACATCTTTCAAAAGTCAATTTTTTCAAAAATATTGATTTTTAAAATTTTCAGATTTTTTGAAATTGTCAAAATGCTTAGAATTTTCTGTGAGTTTTCTGAACATTTAAAATGTCCAGTTTAAGTTCTAAGAATCGTTCATCGCCCAAGGACTGACCAACCCTCAATTAGCGCTTGTCCCTCAAGGGTCGACTGTACATAACATGGCTTTAAATGCTGTAATCTTGGCAGATCGTCTTTCTTCCTATATCTACAGAATACAGAACCCTGTATACTAGGTTTGTATAATTTTATATGCGCAATACTATTTCTAGGACAATTACAATTTTGTTAATCCTTCTACTGACTGTCGCGTCGTCAAGGCGGAGGGAAATTTTTCGCAGTACGATTAAGTTTATTGTCTACAACAGAGGCGATAATTTATACTTTTTAAGTCCTCTGTTAAGAAATGACAAGGTTTACACTTCCTTCAAGGAGACGGCACGATGCAATAGCTATTAATAAAATCATTAATTGAAATGTTTCGAATCGCGTGAGCTGAAGAATATTGTGCTGCAAAATGCTGAAGCTTTGGAAAGATATGTCAATGTTATCTCCGAAAGTGTTTGCATTTTGATTAATATCACTGTGGAAACAGTTAATTATAATCCCCCATGTTTGTCTAGCCGAATCATACAATTTATAAGATATATATGCTTGTAATAAATTATTTTCCTAAAATCTAGATTTTTCATATTTAGTGGGCTGATTCCTTTCTGCTTAAAACCGTCCATTTTGTTTATCTGTCTTCCATGTAAACACTTCTAGAGTGTAAGTTGACTAGCAATTCCTAGAGCATTGTATATTCTAAAATACAAGGTATTTACCAGAATTATTATGAATACTGGAATTTTTTAGAGTGAAACTACTTACTACTCATATTGTGGAATAAGCTTCTATGTACAAAAAACGAATCCTAATATAATACAGGCAGATAAAAGTGAGCCGACCCTCCTAACCCATGTCCTAACAAAAAATTGGCGGATTCTGGTTCTTGACATCCTTTACGATCGGTTACGATGCCTAGAGTACGGAGACCTGTACGATTTCGTCAACTTAGTGAGTTTGATAGGGGCCGTATAGTGGGACTTCGGGAAGCTGGACTTTCTTTTCGGACAATTGCAGTTAGAGTGCAAAGAAGTGTAGACACTGTGGTTAGGTGTTGTCAGGCATGGCTTCAAGAAGGCCGTACGCAAAGAGCAAGGGGCACTGGACGCCGCCGTAGAACAACAGACCGTGAAGATCGCCGCCTAAGATTATTGGCCTTAAGGGACCGTTTCTCCACTACCAGGTCCATTGCAAATGAATGGTTTGCAGAACACGGAAGACCTATTGGCATGCGAAGTGTTTACCGACGAATGAGAAGTTTTGGCTTGTTTTCATACCGGCCACACTGGGTCCTCCCTTTAACTCGAGAACACCGACGTAATCGCCTTGAGTGGTGCAGGCAACGGTCACTCTGGGATCAGGAATGGAACATTATTGTCTTTAGTGACGAGTCTCGATTTTGTTTAGGTATGCACGATGGTCGTGCCAGGGTTAGAAGGTGACGAGGTGAAAGGAGGAATCCACAGTTTTTTGTTGAAAGACATGTTCATCACACTGTTGGAGTTATGGTTTGGGGTGCTATAGCTTATGGTTCCAGGTCACCTTTAATCTTCATCAGAGGTAACATGAACGCGCAGCGTTATATCCACGAAGTTCTAGAACCCCATATTTTACCCTATCTTGACACCCTGGCAGATCCAACTTTCCAACAAGATAATGCCCGACCACATGTTGCAAGAGTCACAATAGACTTCTTTCAACATAATGATGTCACATTGTTACCATGGCCACCAAGATCTCCCGACTTATCCCCAATTGAGCACGTGTGGGATATGATGGGTAGGAGATTGCTTAATTTGCAACGTCCTCCTCAGACTCTAGAAGCACTTCGAGAGGAGTTGGTAGTAGCCTGGAATGAGATACCACAGGAGGACATTGACCACCTGATCAGAAGCATGCCTAGGCGCGTTGGAGAATGCGTAGCACATCAGGGTGCATCCACACATTATTAAAGGTCAAAGGGCTTTAAAGCAGTGCAATCATTTTGAAATTTTTATCATTTACTTATTATGCTTCATTAAGTACTTATACAAAATTTTATTAAAATAAAACCATTTAAACTGGGTGTTCGGATTTATATGTCACTTAGTATATAATGAAATTCAGAAAAATGAAAATTTCAAAATGCCCTGTCAGCGAAAAATAAAAGGTATTTAAGCAAACTCGATTTTATTTGAAAGAACAAGGCTTGTACTTTGAGGCAATGTCTATGGTTATAAAAAAAATTCATCATGATACAAAATTTCAAATATAGACAATACTCACACTTCTAGGAAACTAGAGCCAATTGAGAGGTTTGGACCACGGATTCGCATTCAGCGCGTCAAAAACCTGCGGGAAGGTATAACCTGGTTTCCTGATAAAAATCTTGTTGGCCTGCGATATTTAAATGTATCTTAAATCAAATCAGACGGAACCTTATTCATCAACAGACAAAAGAGAATCGTATTTGATCTACCATAGCAACAGCATGTGTCGTTGACATGGCGAACAGGTGGCGACAAAATTTGCATAAAAAATTCAATGCTGAAAAGAGTGAAAGTTACAATAGAATCAAACAATGCAATGTTTGAGATTATACTGTCTACACCAAACAAGCGACACGATCTGCTGTGGAGATTATTACCTTTGATGTTAAGGATGCCTTCAGCAACGCACACTGATGAAGATTCGTTTTACTTAGGTGACTCTTATGGTAGGATAAAAGATGGTGAAGACAACCATAGAAGACCGTTGGAACGTATCCTACGATGAGGCTCATTGGCTGGCCCGGAGAGATGTGGATTTGAAAGGCTGGAATCACGAGAATTATGGCACACCTCTGATAAGGTGAACAAAGTCGTTGCATCTCTGATTCGGCTAATGTCAACTGAGAGAGACCCCTGTCGCGAGGCGTAGGATCTTGAGGGCTGGAGTGCCAATTTCGATTATATTATATGGAGCCCCTATCTGATAATGACGTACAACAGCGGAAACAAGAGTAGATACGGCGAAAACACAAAGAGTACTGGAGACAGCAGAAATGAAAGTCTTACGAAAAATAACAAACCAAACTCTAAGAGACAGAGTAAGATGTGAGGAAATACGAGCGAGAAGTGGTGTAGACAGGGGCGTAGCTATCATAGGGCAAACCGGGGCAGTGCCCCGGGGCCCCGGCTTATAGGGGGCACCGGCCATGCGCCTCAAAAAAATTGTTTTTAAGCGCCGATCAGCAATAACGAACGCTACATATTTGAGGAAAACGCTTGCGGTCCTAAATGTATGTAGCTATAATCCGTCGGACCGCGACGGGCTTGGCACCACCGCCTTAATATTACGTCTCGTCTTTGGGGATTCCCCGATCTACTGTTTTGATGATTTTAACTACCCCAGCATGCCCTATGTGATATTGATATGTGTCGTAGTCGTGCCGTGGTGCCCGGCGTGGTGTAAAACAACATTACTATATTTGTATTGTGACTATTGTGTCTCATTATAATAAGGTACCTATTAGAAAAAAAGGTAAGTATAAGTTATATTACTTAATGAATAAATGGCTCGATTTTGATTTGTGCGTAATTTTGTTTGTGAATGTACATTTGTCCATTACCTTGCTGAGTAAAGACGCCCGCAGAATTTCCGTAACGTAAGACTTAAGACTTAAGTTTCATTTAAGACAGATTAAGACTTAACCGCAAGGAATTATACAGAATTCTGATAAGGTGATTTATAAAGTATAGTGAAGACTTAAGCCTTAAGTCTTATGTTACGGAAACTCTAAATTCGAAAAGTTTCTTACAGACTAAAAATGATCTATTGACTGTTTCAAAAATATCGACTATTTTTTTTCTCTTAATTATATAAAATGACGAAAAAAATTTCTGTAAAAGTTACAGCTCTTAAATATTAATATTTTGAGGTGCCGCATCGCAAATTTCAATTTCCCATTTGATTAACATGAAAAAAATTGTTTTCAACTTTTCAGTTTGTTCTCATTACTAAATTATCAAAAACTCTTACTGATGAAGATAAAAAGATTATTATTAGTCTTGAACCCAACAGACCTAAAGGTCCATTTCCCAAGGATTCGAACCAAAATGATCGCAGTTTTAGTGAGAGTTATTATTTTTCTACCACAAAATACGGCCCTGTCAATCGTCTTTAGCTGTGCTATTCAACTGTACTAGATGCAGCCTATCGTGAATCTTGTTGGTTTTTCTCAAAATTGTGCAGTCACTGGAGTACGGGCTTAAGAGATTGGAAACATTTATCATCACGCATTAAAGAGCACAGTAAAAGCAAAGCTCATATTGAAGCTTGCGCTGTTCACGACCTTTGGAGAAAAAATCGTGCCATTGACAAGAACCTAGAAGAAGAGGTCAGATTTCAAGCATCCTTCTGGAAAATGGTGTTGCAAAGATTATTTAAAATTACATTACTTCTGGCAAAATGTTCCTTGTCATTTCGGGGGCACCGTGAACGTCAAGATGATTTTAGTGCGAATTTTATGGCTCAAGTGAAATTTTTGTCAGACTATGACGATGCTATGAAACAGGTGGTGGAAATGCCTTTTGGATCTATGCGATATCTTAGCCCAACTATTCAAAATGAATTCATAGATTGCCTTTCAAAAAAACTTACTTTTTAATTAAGAAAACAAATAAATTCCGCAACATTTTTTTCTTTGCTTCTTGATACAACTCAAGATATCACAATGATAGATCAATTAAGTATAGTCATTCGAACGTGTCACATAATTCGAGATAAAAATCTGCTATCTCAAAAGTTTGAAATCAAAGAAACTTTTTTGGGTTTTTCCAGTTAAAAGATCATTCTGCCGGAGGAATGACTCAAGAAGTTCTAAATATACTAAAAAATCTAGATATTCCCATTGAAAAATGTTATGGGCAAGGCTACGATGGAGCCAGTGTAATGAGTGGGGCTTATAATGGAGTAAATGCTCAAATAAAAAGAGCAAATCACAACATAAATTTAGTAATAAATGTTGCAGTAAATTGTTGTAATATTTTGCCACATTGCAAAATATATATTCTTTTTTTGGTTTAAGTATTAATAGATGGGATCTTTTAGCTTCTTTTACCAGTGAATCCAAAACAACTTTAAAAACATTAAATCCAACTCGTTGGTCAGGAACGATATTGTCTATTAGTGCTGTCAAACTTCGTTATCTTGATATTATTAAATCTTTAGAGTTACAGTCTCATAAAAAAAAAGAAAGAGAAGAAGCTTCTTCCAATAAAAAACAAATGTGTTGCTTTGAATTTGTATTTATTTCAACAATGTTGTATAAAATCTTTACCCAGGTTAACTCAAAGGTCCTTCAAAAGAAAAATATTGATTTTAGTGAATCTGTGACTGTTTTAGAACAAGTAGAAAAGAACCTTACTGAATTAAGATCTTCTTATGAAATTTTAATGATTGAAGCTACGGAACTGGCTAACAAATGGTATATTCAACCGGAATTCAGGCAAAAACGTCAACCTAAAGTTAAAAAACACTTTGACGAACTCTTAAGTGATTATAGATTTAATAATACTCAAATTTTATTTAAAATAAATGTTTTTAATGTTGTTATGGACCGTGTTCTGACACAGATTTCTAATAGATTTAGGAGCATGAAAAAAATTAATAAATTGTTTGATTTACTTCTTCCAAAAATTATATTAAGTTGCGATCAAACATCCTTTAAAAATAAATGTACAGCCATTTATAACAAATATCCTGAAATATTTGATTTAAATAATTTAATATTTCAGTATATCAATTTGTTAAATGTTTGTAAAACAGACCTTAAGAATGATCTATCAATTGAGGAATATTTCAATATAATTTTAAGTAAGTATAGAGTACCTGAAAGCGACTTAAGTGAAGTTTACTTAATGTTCCTTTTATTTTTTAAGTTGCCTGTAACTACTGCAACTGTTGAAAGATCATTTAACAAGCTAAAACTTATAAAAAACTATCTTAGGTCTACTACAAAACCTTAATATAAATGATATTATCAACGAATTTGCAAATGGATAAGCAAGAAAAGGGATTTTTAATTCTATTATTGTTTAATTTTTGACTTTTGTTATTTCATTACTTTAATTTGTGTTACTTCTTGTTTTTATGACAATAAACATTTTTTTTATTATAACATGATATTTTTTATTCTTAAACATACTCATTAGGCCCCCCAAAAAACGTTTGCCCCGGGGCCCCATGACTTCTAGCTACGCCACTGGGTATAGAGGAAATAAACCTGTGGACCAAAAGAAGAAAAATAGAATGGAATCAACACATAGAAAGAATGACAAAAAATAGAACAGTACGAATAGCAAGAGACAGATCGCCAAATGGAAGATCATCAATGGGACGACCGAGGAAAAGATGGTCAGACAACATCAACTGAGGCTAAAAACCGAAGTAAAGCAGGCATGAGCCTATTAGTAAAGTAGGAAGAAGAAGAAGAAGAGCCCCTATCTGTGGCAAGCCTTTGAGGAAGAAGAAACATACTCAGCTAATAACGGTATCCACAGATACATTGCTGGTGATAGCTGGTATCCCTCCAATTGATTTGCTGGTCGAAGAAAGATGCGCGCTCTATAAGAAGGGCACTGGAGCCAAAGTCAGCGAAAGAAAACACTGCTGACGACTTTGCCAGGCATGTAAGCGAGGGCAGATGGGCTAACATTCAACCAATAGTGATGGGGATTATGATGATAATAAAAACAAATCAAGAAACCAGTAACAACTTGCTGGATTGTACATATAAAGGGTGATTTTTTTGCTACTATCTTTTTGGCAACACTGTTTTTGACATATGACGGGTGATTTGTCAAACTTGTTCAGTTTGGTCTATAATTTAACCATGAATCGATTTACGAACGAACAACGCTTGTAAATTGTTGAATTTTACTATCAAAATTCATGCTCGGTTAAGAGCGTGCATCGAGCACTGCTTCCAATTTATGGGCAATTTGGTCGGCCCACTGAGGGAGCTATTCGGAAGCTTGTTACTAAATTTCGAACCCAGTTTACATTATTGGACATTAAACCACCAACACGCAGACGTAGAGTGAGGACTGAAGAAAATATTGCGGCTGTATCCGCCAGTGTTAGTGATGACCGTGAAATGTCGATTCGCCGCCGTTCGCAGCAATTGGGCCTCTGTTACTCCACTACGTGGAAAATTTGGCGACAGGATTTGGGTGTAAAACCTTATAAGATACAGCTGGTGCAAGAATTGAAGCCACACGACCTCCCACAACGTTTCCAATTTGGTGAATGGGCGCTGGCAAAGTTGGAGGAAGATCCACATTTTTAACGAAAAATTGTGTTCAGCGACGAAGCCCATTTCTGGTTGAATGGGTACGCTGACAAGCAAAATTGCCGCATCTGTAGTGAAGACCAGCCAGAAGCATTGCAAGAGCTACCAATGCATTCCGAAAAAATCACTGTTTGGTGTGGATTATGGGCCGGTGGCATCATCGAGCCGTACTTCTTCAAAGACGACAATGGCCGGAACGTAACTGTGAATGGGGAGCGCTACCGTGCGATGATAACAAACTTTTTTTTGTCCAAAATGGAAGAGCTGGACTTGGCTGACATGTGGTTTCAACAAGACGGTGCCACATGCCACACCGCACACGAAACAATGGCCCTATTGAGAGGCGAGTTCGGTGAACAGTTTATCTCACGTTTGGGGCCCGTCAATTGGCCGCCTAGATCGTGTGATTTAACGCCGTTGGACTATTTCTTGTGGGGCCATGTTAAGGATAATGTCTACAGTACTAAAACCAGCAACGATTGACGCACCGGAAGCCAATATTGAAGCATTTATTCGTGAGATACCGGCCGATATGTTGGAGAGAGTGTGCCAAAATTGGACCTTGCGCATGGGCCATCTAAAGCGGAGCCGCGGCCAACATTTATATGAAATAATCTTTGAACATTAAATTATATCGACCGTTCTATCGACTCAAATAAAGATTTAATTGTTTTTTCAATTTTTTTGTGTTTTTTTTTGAAAATCAAATCCTATACCTCTTAAAAAATCAGCCGTTACATAAGTTTGAATGTATATATAATATACTTCGATGGAAATTGGATGACTAATACCTTTGGTATAAATATTCAACGCAGCGCTACCCACCATGAGAAATGCTGCACACATTATCGTGGTGGAATGTAGCGAACAACTGAGACACTGGAGAATCTTATACTTCGGATAGAAAGGACCGACAAGGCAGTGCTGTCGAGCTTTTCTGCCTTAGAGTGGCTATAAGAGCTTTCGCATGTCCAAAAAAGTTGTACCCTAGATACTCTTCAGTTATTTGCACCCTAAAAAGTACCTAGTCTGCAAGATGACATTTCATTGTTTTTTTTTACGTTTTCTACGTTTTTTACATAATAGCTGTGCCGGAGGCCTGCGGCTTTAAATCGCCGCCTCGGAAGTTAATTCCGAGCCATGGATGTTGTGATGTGTGTTGTCTATAGTAATAGTAGCAGTACATTTCCACCGGTTTGAAACTGATTGAGCATGCACAGTGGAGAAAACATGGTCAAGCAAGGGTTAAAACCTAGTTGGGGATTATCATTCCGCTATTTCAGCAATGCAATTTTTGCTTTGAAAAGTAGTTTAGGACGTCGAACAGTTCACACAAGATTTTGTAGGAACTCGGAATATCTGACATGCGCATATCGCACAAGGTGTTGTTTTGTTATGGGTGCCTTATAATTTGGGGTTATGTTTTTGAATTGTTTTGGGGTGTTTGCGTCTTTCTTAGTTTCGTTGCAACTTTGAATAGTTTGTATCAGTTGAAAAGATTGACGTCAGATGACCGTTTTTATAAAAAGGAAATCAAATTCTTGTAGTTGAAGTTCAGAATGCGATTGGATCTTAAATATCGATTCGAGTGATGAAAACATTCTGCACATCCTGCTTCATGAATGAAACGATACCTCTTTTCAATGGAAGTGGATTGATGGCAACATTTCAGGGTGACTCACAAAGTAAGTGAATATATCTCAACTAAATACATAATAAGACGTTTAATCAAATTAACTCAAACGTTTTTGACAGAAAAATGTGTTCTAGCAGAATCAAATTTGAAACTGTTCGAAACTAGTCTTTTGACAGCGCACATGCGTTGAAGAAGTTTACAATTGGATGTCAAACTGTTGAAAACTTGATTCTTATTTAGAATAATAATTTTATAAGTTCTTAAAAATGTTGAATTTTGTTTTTATCGCAAGACACTTCTCTTGTTCTAATGGTTCTGTGGTGTAGGATCGTACTCTACTCTCCATCTCTCATGCCGGGATGTGGTTGATGTTTCTGTTCGACAAAAGAGGGCGTGCGGTATTTTTTTTTTTTGTCGATCGGTTTGGCATTGGAAGTTATCCATTTGCCACAGATGTGTGTTACTATTGATCTAAAGTGAGAGGGCGTGCGGTATTGATGGCCACAGAACGGGCATTGTTTCGTTATAGAAATGCCGTTGTTAGGTTAAAACGGATATTTTTTGAAATTTCTGTCGACCTTAAGTACGAGAGCTGTCCGGTGCTCTCGTGTAGCAGTTCAGCGGCCACAATCTGCGTTAGTGAAACAATTTCCGACCCAGTGCTGGGCATTTGCCGGGTTGTGGAAATTTTGTTAGAACTGTCTGCATTAACGCTCCGAAACGATCTATAAGAAGGACTCACATCTAGGAGCAGTTTAAGTTTTGATAGGCCAAAAGGCACTACTTTCTTTTTCCCAGTTCTTGGAACTAGGTGGGTACAAACCTCAACCATTTAATTTATATCAAAGACCAAAGTACAAAGAACCACACTCTGAGGTCAAATTATCTACCAACTGAGAACAGCATTAGTTATATTTTTCCCCAAATTATAACTAGAAATATATCCAGGATAACACAGGTAAGCGCGGGATAAGAACTGGAGCTAGTTTGTTCAATAATACATGACCAGAAGATGGCTGGTGTAGTGTTAGAGTGATGATACAAGCAGGGTCAATGTCCTCCCCACCACTACTACTACTACTACTGGACCTCTTCAGTACAGGTCATCAGCTGGCAATTAAAACAGATACTTGTATGTGTCAATGTCAGACATCCTTCCTTGATAGTTTG